ATTATATAGCTTTTATATATATAATAAGCCTCCTATTAGTGGTAGGAGTTAAACCTAGGCTACTAGCTATGTGCTTTTAAAATATAATATATGCCTATACTATTAGACTATAGGGTAAAGAATTAGGCCTTAAAAGTAATTCTAGTAATTAATATAGGTATAATAGTAGTATATATAGCGTAAAGTAGTGCCGCTATAACGGTTTATTATACTAGCTAAAATATCTTTAAACCTATATTATATATAACTTAATAGTTTTATATATATAGTATTTACTACTATAGTCTTTTTACGGTTCTCTCTAAATATTATATTAGTATTATACTTATAAAAGCTATAGATATAGATAGTAAAGGCGTTAATTTAACTATTATATAAAGATAGCTTAAGTACTTTAGCTTATAAATATAAGCCTTTATAGGCTCTTTTATATAATAGAGTACTAACTATAGAAGTCGTTTCTCTTTCTAGAATATCTTTCTTTATAAGTTCTATTACTCCGAGGTTAGGTAACTTCAGGTCTCTAGAACGGTCCCTACGTTACACCGTCTAGTAAGATATTATAACTCGCGTAAAGAGTAGAGAAGCTGGAGAAAGCCTATTATACTGTTTAAAAAACTAGAAATATATAAAAAGCCGTGAATAATGCCGAGGTGTCGTGGTAGTCCCACAACAGCATTAAGAAGTGTGAGGAATTGCCTTCATCGGCGGGTTCTATTGTAGCCGATGATAGCGGTCCCCACTTCACTCCGAGCCTGTGGCCGCTGACAGCGGCCCCGATTTCACTCCGAGCTAATGGTCAACAAGTACGGAACCAGTCTTGGTCACAATTCCAGATTAAAGGCGTATCGCATGATTTCCTAAGTAATACTCTAAGTAATGCTCCGCCTCCCTTTCATTATAATGCAGCTTGCTGTTTCCAATAACTCCACAAAAGAACAAGCCATCTTAATACGTGACGCCTGCCGCTTATAACCGTTCTGAATTACTCTAGGTACAGCCTAACATGGGTTTCCTGTTCCGTTCACAGTTTCGCCGCGTTTAAGGGTGTTCTAACATGTTTTTCTTGCTATAATTTTTTTCATTTGTTTTCTGAGATATTTCTTCAGCTTCTTAAAGCTGGAAATTTCTAAGTAGGCTTAGCACACAAGCAAAAAGGATTCTCAAAGCAAAGGGCAAGAGCGCTCCTACCTATGACCTTCATAGGTCTATCTAGCCTAGCTAGCGTAGCATTAAGCTCTATGTACTTCACTTTCCAGAATGTGGATTCTCCGAAGTTACATTCGCTTCGTTTCTTGATAGCTTTAGGCACCAGGCAAATGAACTGCCAGAGTTCCGCAGAGCCTTGGCAGCGAACCACGGTATTTTACACTATTTACTTCACTACGCGGCATAATCAGCTTCAGCCCGGATTTCCGAGGCCTTGTTGGCTTCGGCTATTGTCTGTTATTAATTGTCAATATAGCAGTCCCAGCAACCTCTGCATTCCTCAACTATACGACGTAGCGATGTCTACCGTAACCCCCTACGCAAGCTCGGCTATCCTGGCCTTCGCTTATAGAAGTCGCCTAGGTTCCCAGTTCTTCTACGAATATTCCCGCCAGGTCTTTCGATTTAATTCAGCGTAAGGTGCTCTAGTAAGGTCTAGCTCCTGCAGTGGATTTTCCTAACGGTCTTAGTCCCGACTTAATACATTATATAGACTAGTCGCCGTCAATGCTAACGTCTTATTAAGGTGTGTAGCTTATATAAGTCGGCGGTATAACTAGAGGGACTTAAGACGTAGGGGGGTTAGGTTATAAAAAAACTAAAAAGCTTTGCTTTAAATGAAACTAGACCTTACTTGAATACCTGACTATAAGGAGTTGGATGGCGTAATACTTCTACTATATTCTGCCCTACTAAGTATTGACCCTAACGCTTAGTATACTTAGCCCTAAGGAGATTAGGATAGAGGCAATCATTAAGGTTTCCCACAATTATTATTTACCAGTCGGACCGTTAGCGTGTGGCCCCTGCGATAAATAAGTGTCGTTATAAAGGGAATACGTATAGCCTGGCAGAATCAACTTAGTGCTCTTGCAAGCTTATGCATCTAGTTCCTACGTAGTGGGCATGACGTGATTCATGTATTACATGCAATCAAAAGACCTCGAAAATGACACGATGTTGAATAGTCAGTAAACTCGAATGATTCCTTATTAAGGGTCTCTTAATATGCTGCTAGGGTAACTACCCACGTTTCAGAGCGATGTCGGATAGGGATGTGCAGGCGCGTCATATTATGCATTAGGCTGGCTTTTCCAGGGCAATTCTAGATGTTCTCGCGACTCATGGCTATCTAGAGTGCATGGATGGAGGGAAGGATAGCCCATGTCTTTGTAGACAAAAATTGGAGATTTAAAGGATGGCATATATCAGTTTAGGGCTCGGCCGTGTATAAATAACTAGCAGATGCAAGGCCTCTCTATTCAAGTCGTCCAACTCATTCACTTCTCACTAAGATAACTGTCCTTTGCCCATATACCTTACTCTCTTTTGAAAAATACACACACGTTATCTTCACTATGAGAGCGGCTACTATTGTACTCGCCTCCCTTATGGGACATGCCCTTGCAGCACCGGCTAGCGCTTGCTTCGAGCAAAAGGGGGCTAAGAGCAACACGCCGGCGCCAGGCAGCCGCGGCGACATCTGCATCCAGGCGTCTGGTAAGGTGTTTGATGCGTGCCTTAAAACACGCCAGCGCGACGAGCCGGGCGACAGCCTCCGCGAACGGTGCAACAAGGAGCGCGATGACGCCAAAAAGGGCTGCCTTAACGTCCAGGTGCAGCAGCCCAAAACGTCCACAACCCAGAACACTACTGCCACTGAAACAGGCAAGCCGGAGACCCTTGGGGATGCAAACGGGAACGAAACTGCTACTCCCACGAGTTCTCCAGAGGATAAATTATGTATAAATGAATGCTGCGACGGTGATGACAAATACGCCAATATCCTTGACTGCCTCGCCCAAAACCTGAACTCGACCGCAACTGAATTGGACCAGCCAACGCAGCCGCAGGAGCCGGAGAGACACAAAATCGTCATACAGTTATCTAACTCGGACAATTACGAAGCGAACAAGAACGAATTACCGCCGAGCTACGACAAAGTTGCTTCGTAAGTCAAGTCCTAAAACTGCTTCTTTGATCTGGCATTATACTTACTTCGCTGCTCAGTATTGTGCACGGGGATAAAAGCCTACTATTTTGTGGAGATAAATTTTCGGAAACCGTCTTCTGTGAACCACATGTCCCTGTCACTCAAGGTACGGTCGACAAGTTAAAAGCACTGAAGGATGGTGTGACAGTACTGTCCACCAAGAAGAGTCTTGCTTTACTTTACAAGGAGCGGCAAGACCAGCTGGACCAGCAGCGGGAACAGCAGCGGGAACAGCAACAGAGCGAAAATGAAGGCCAACTCAACTTGGATCCAGTTGTCAGAGCACCAGCACGACTTATCTAAGACACTCCCGTGAGCACAGACCATTAGCGCACCAGAAAGCTGTAGTCTAGATAGCTTCTTGTTCCCTCAAGGCACAACTACGTTATTACTAGCACCTTAAATTCGCCTCATGATAGCTCTCGAGCCTAAGACTTTGATTGACCCTGCAACAGTAGTACCTAAACACTATTACGAATATCTGGAAGTATTCGATCAAGTAGAGGCATATAAACTTCCTCCCCACCGACAAGGTGTCTCCAAGCTGCGATAGTGAACATAAATGGCGTATAAATCATGCGTCTTTTTTCGTAGTGTACTGCTTCCGAAACTACACTGAAAGAATTGTGTCGCCACGTGGCGCACTTACAGTGTCTCGCCGATCGGGTTAACCTATACCGAGCAAGCGGGTACCATTTGGTAGTTAGCTGTCACGCCCTTAAACAGACGCCTGTCCTTGGCGTTCAGTTATTGTCCCTTGTATGTGATGGTAGCCGCCCCTGCCGCCCCCGCCGCCCCCGCCGCCTCTCTCGTTACCTCAAGGCCGTCTCCGCAAGAGGAGGCGGGGACGGCTGCTAAATAGTGGCCATGTTTTTTGGTACCTGCTTGCCTGACTAGCATGATAGTTGGATGGGTTCAGAGCTTGATATCTTGGTCAGAATAATGCTATAGTCTGCTAGAACTCCTTCGGCTACCGTTGATCAGAGCCCAGGATCAACTATAAATAGCTCTTTCTTGACAAGCGCTCAGAAATCAGTGCATGATCTACTAGTTAATTGAGGTACCCTTTTGTTATGCATCAAGTACTCCATATCACGTAATAAGTCCTTTTGGTGATTGGTGCGATGTGGTGGGGCAAATTGTTGACGATATGTAAGCGCAATTACAACCGTAGACTATGAAACAGCTACGCAGCCCGGTCGTACTTAACAAAAAGCCAGAGCAAATTGTGTCCATCCTATGTAATTCAGTAGCTCGTTCCGCTAATACTAATCTTAGAACCCTCTAGTAACGTAGCTGTGTCCGCAAAGCGGCCGTAACGACTAGCGATCGTACTAACGTCAGTCAACACATGAGAGCCATTTCGGTCAAATGTCAGGCGCTGTGAGGTATATCCGATGTTCGTAATTTGCTTATACTCGCCAGTGTCGGTGCTCCAGATCCGCCCCGTCTTGTCGTGAGACGCTGATGCTACGAGTTGCCGAGTCGTGCACTCGCCTGTGTCGGCGCGGTAAGACGGCGCGAGTTGCCGGTTCGTGCGACGACGCCACCGGGCGAACTAAGCGTCTGGGGCCTTTAGCGTGCTGGGGCCTTCTAGCGTCTGCACGCACTCGCGTGTGTCGGCGCGGTAAGACGCCGATGCCACGAGTGCCGAGTTGTCCGACAACGCTATATAAATGAGCGAATGAAGTCGGCCCACCCGGCAGCGCCGAAAAGCAAGACGCAATCTCCACGCATCCTGCTGGTATTGCTATTATTCGTATAGGGAAGCTTTTGCGGGATACCGATATATAATCTGATACTAGACTAGACCCGTAAATAGCGACGAGGATAGGGCACCTGGCAGTTGATCTACGGGACGTCGCTGGTGGCTATGAGGACCATGACTCGAAGTGTACTCCGTAGAAGGCGCTGTACTTAGGTGTGGAATCATGATTGCATCGCCCCCTGGCCAGGATTGGAAACACTCTGGACCAGTAAGTGAGTGACTCTACTCACTCACGGTACCGCCTGATAATAAATGGACCAGCCTACTAACACAACTACTCCTTAGCCTATGTAATTAAATATACGGCAGCGTTTATTACATTAGGCTAGGAAATAAGCTCGCGCTTACTATTCATTTACTATACCTAGAAAAGGCACTATAATAGGCAATTGGTTAGTAAGGGAGGACTAACTAGTCTAGAGTATTAGGCTATTTCTTACTAAAACTAGAGTACCCTTGGATAAGATATCTATAATATATAGTCGATATAAAGCACGAGTAAAGAATATACTACTTGCTTTAGAAATACGTTAGCTAAAGCTTAAAAATACGAGTTAATCCTCTTCTATCTAACACTAAACTTACAACGCTATAAGAGTATATAGTTAGATATATATATACAGCCGAAAATCAGGAGAGGTAATATAGAACAATAGATCGTTTACTGTGCTTATTTATCACTAGGTAGTAGCTAGGGTTATACCTAGGCTACTTAGGAGCCACATCAGGCTCGGCCGATTGTATTATATATAGTAGGTTTTATATATTCTAGAACTATATAACTATTCTTAGTATAGGGACTGTAATCTCCTTAAGGCTATGCTATTATAACTCGGGCATCTTAGAGAAAGTATTTACCCTAAGTAACTGCCTAAACTTAACTATCCTTCTCTATTGAACCTTCTCTCTTATATAAGAATATATATTCATCTACTTAATACCTCTTATTAGATCTAAATTAATATAAAGTACCTAAGTATTATAATTATAGCTTATACTAGCCTAGTTATAGCCGTTCTAGTCGACCTATTAGAGTCTAAAGAAACTCTAATTAAAGAGTCTTATAAAAAGTATAGTTTTAGCTCTAATAAAATTTATCTATCTACTAGGAAATTTTACTATTAATATAGTAATAAAGAAGGGTTTAATATATTTAATAACTATATAAAGTTATATAAAGCTAGTAGAAGGAATACTTTAGTTAATAATAGTTTATAAAACTATCTGTTAGGGAAGAAGGGATAAGCTAGGATATAAGGGGGTCACGTGTAAGGGAGCGGATATATAGAGGCGAGCTGCCGACGAACTAGCAGGGAGGAGGCAGCGATAATTCCATCATCATCAGTAACCCTAAGAATCATTCTGTGACTAAAGTCCCTCAAGCACAACAACCTCACACTATCTAATAGTTAGTATACTAACTAGTCTACTAGTTAACCTAATAGAGTATAAAGAAACTCTAATTAAAGAGTCTTATAAAAAGTATAGTCTTAACTCTAATAAAATTTATTTATGTACTAGGAAATTTTACCTCTTATATAGTAATAAAGTAAGGTTTAATATATTTAATAAATACGTGAAGTTATATAAAGCTAGTAGAAAGAAAACTTTAATTAGAGATATTTAGGGAGATATATAGAGAGAGCAGGAGAAGTAGATATAGGTAGTGTAGCCATAGAATCAGTAAGAGTATAAGATTTCTAGCTAACTACTTAATATACTAACAGACAATTACGGATCTAGATACTAAATATACTAACTGTCCCCTAAGTCAAATAGTAAGGGGTAGCCTAGTGTGTAGTTGGAGACTTGTTTTATTCTGTTGGTGGAAAACTTATCAGGGCTCGCAAGCGAAGGCAGGCTTGGCTTATACTTTGGCATTATAGAGTAGAGGAGCAATTTCTACTTCTCTACCCTACCTAGGTTGAGTGGCTAGAGTGGTAGGCAGCGTTGCCCTCGAATCAAATCACATCAAACAAACTACCAAACAAATCAAGCAAATCAATGCTAAAATATTTATCAAACAAAAAATTACGTAATTCTTGATTTGACTTACGTTTGATACATTTGACTCGACTCTATTGATTCAGCCGCTGCACGTATCGGATGCCGTAGAAAGCAACCCTACCCTAGGCATCAACCTACTTAATAGCAGGGACATCAAATATCTTTCATCTACATAATAGGGTACGCTATACCTTTTGTTTTTTTTAGAATAGGAAGATAGTGGAATAAACGTAATAAGTTTGCATAGATTCTCGAAGCATATATCTAACAGCATAGTACCTACGCTACTAAATACCGACGATACTCTCGTAAACACTAAAGCCCTTATTATAGAAGCCTAGAACTAACTAAATATATATACTAGAGTCCTATATATAGTTATACTTATAGGTAATTATAAAATATACTAATTAGTTTTCTTCTAGATATAGAAAATACTTTATATAGTATTTTTATTTAATAATATTATAATATTAGTTAAGCTAAAAATAAAAAGAAATTATAATTTAATTACTTTATAAATTAAAAGCTTATAAATTTTAAATAACTCTTTAAAACTTAGTCTTTATATAATAATATTATATTAGTTAATTAAATATTACTTAATTACC